AAAAATCTAACATTAGTTTTAAATTTAAGGTTTCGCCATGCCGCAGTTCCAACTTTCTATTTAGAAAAGCCATTGAAATGAAATTCTTCTCATATAAACTGACATTGAAGTAGCACGACAAAAATAGATTGCCCATGTGCAACGCTATCTTTCATATTTGTGGCCGGATTTTTACAATTTTATAGAAGTTGCATCTTACAAATGGGAAATGAATGCAAGTGGAAATGCGCTTTATGTAAATCGTTTACGATTACTTTTTTACTTGTTTTTCTGTTGCATTCACCAATGCATTTTGGCAGTTTCTAATAGGTGTGCATTACTAACAGTAATAACACTAAAGTATGTTGTTTATTAGGTGTTTTTTTTTCCAGAAAATTCTATTCTATTTCGTTTTTTTCAAAATGCGTACCGATCTACTACAGTCGGTTAATGTACAATACAAATTGTGTCCGTAATCAGAAAGGTAAAATAATATTTTAGTTAAAATTGGATTGTACTTAACAGAGAAACCTCATACCTACTGTTTGATTTATTTTTTAATGTCGATCTCTTTCCGCACGAATAATTTATAATAATGAAAAAACCGCAACATCTGCATAGGATTTTAGTTACGGGTCGGAACCGATGTGTTTGAATAGGTTTCAATTTTCGCTTTTAAGTTTATTTGTGTATTATAAAAAATTGGACCGTTTTGAAAATCAATTAACCTACCACATACAAAGTTAATGTGTGCGTATCCTTCTGAACCGTTCGGCAGATGATCGGTTGTTTCCAAGCTTTGGAGTGGTTTTGTGTTTTTTTCAAAAACTGAGCGCCTTTCTTGGATTGCATGGAAAGTTGGGAAACTGTTGAACACTTTTGAACAGACAGAAACTATAGCGATTTGGAGATATGTGGCCTAATAGCAAATTTTAAAAAACCGCATTCTTCCGTTTCGTATAATAATGCTTTAGTGGAGTAGGTATGTGGATTGCAGAGGATGGAAATTAATCGGCGTTGTTAATGCCAACGATTAAAATCGCAGTTAAAGTGGCGTATGGATTGAATTTAATTTCAAGGCTAGGAATGCCTACCTACTACCTCCTATAATTGTACAGTCGTGCATCCGCTAAGGCCATTACAAATTGGCCATTGCAGTCGACGAGCTCTCCAATTTTTGTAGGTAATCGAATCTGAACGTTCGATTTTGACACAGTTTAACAATACAAAACCGGCAGAAGCGAGCGCGTGTATCCATCGATGGTCAAAAGTCGCGTTTTACCATAAGAAAATGTAGACTCGCCACGCTTACGGCTATTAAAAGTAGGCTCGTATGAGAAAGTTTTCTCTTAAATATTTTCGTAATACCTTCCTACCGATTTTATAACACGTATAAGTGCCTTGTCTTCCGTGAGTATTTACGAAAGGTCAAGTGTACAACTACCCAAAAAATGTGAGGGGTACGGATGCAAGAAAATCACGTGAAGCTGATATGTTAACAAATAGAAATTGAAGCGAGTTTGTTTACCACTTTACACGATTGCTTCACCTGTTGATAATTTCAGTAAATAACCTCACCTTTACCATCAAAAGAATGCGTTTGTGTTTGATAGTAGGTATGAGATTCGTGACCTGGATTTAGCGCAAAGTGTTCTTCCCATATTTATTATTCAGCACGTTGTTTTCATAATGTCACGATTGATTAGGATATAATTATTGTCAAGGAAATGTACGTGGATTTATGGGTTTACTGGCAACGAAGAGAAGCCGTCTTCCATGATCTCTGTATCACAAAATGGACCCTAAAAGCGGGATCATTTCTAAAAGTAACACATTTCTAATTTATTCTACCCATTTTACAAATTCTCAGCTTTCCACAATTAAAAATTCCCTCAAAGAACTAGGACAGTATTTTCATGTACTTATGTATTGTCCAGGAGAATAATTTAAGGTGGACAAATTAGCTATTATAATAGTGAATTAATTATTCTTGATAATTTACTCTTTGTAATATTAATGTTGTAGCAAACCAAATCCCAAAATTAGGAATAAAATGAAATGTATTGCATCCACTTGTTTAGTGGCTTTCGTGGGCCCAAACCTTCTCAGTAAATGCGTCCAATTCATTATTTGTTACTAATACACAAATCAAACTGCGCGAGATATCTTTTGACAACCCTTTCCATTATAAATGGGTAGTTACCTACAGGTCTGATGAAGCAATGGTCGCATTTACTACTCAATAGATCTGCATCTCTAAAATTAAGCGAAAAGAACTTGTCTTAGATCGATTGAGAACGAGTTTTCATTTAAGATTGTTAAATAATTTTTTCGAGTCCTAAAAGGGACCCCAAAGGGCTTATTTGACTTAGATCGACGATTTTTCATTAAAGAAAAGTGTCCATAATCGATCTATTAAGAATTCGTTTTAGAACGATTGGAAAATAACTATTCTCTGAAACTGCTTTAGAAACAAAACAACTA